TCAAGGAAAAATATCGCGTCCTATCGATTGGCGGGAGGCGGGGTGAGTACGGTAATTGCAATGGCATTTGCCGCATGCCGCAAGGGAGAATGCCGCGATAGGGGAGAAGTTCCGTTACCCGTATTTCAGTTCCTATCAAAAAGTTTACGTAATCTGGCAGCGGTGAGTAGTACTCATTGACTTAGAAAGTGGCTGGTCTGTAGAGCCCGCTGAGCTAACAAACCCTTCTTCTCCTTCTTTTCGATATTTCCAGTGGACTTTCACATCTCAGGTGAAAGCAAATGCTGGGCGACAAAGTTTTAAGGATTGTGGCAAGACTTGTGTCAGGTTAAGTCGAGAGAAAAAGGCCGTGCAGCCTACAGTTGTCATCACAGTAGCGCGCGCACCCGGTTCGTTATCGATCGTGTGCGCGTTAAATCGATACCTTGAGGCGTGGGCATTGTGTGGTAGCTGGCGACGCAAAAGGGACAAAACCGCAGTGGTTAATTCTCTCAGATCCAACGTACTTACCAATTAAATGCTACTGCCAAGTGGTACTCCATAAATAAGCAGAAAAACATGAATGCTCCACACAAGAGAGAAAGTCCTGGAACGGGCGAAGTAGGAATTTTTGTTCTCCAAAAAGGGATTCCCGGTAGTATCAGATTTAAAACCTACCGCATATTTGTTCTCCGAACGATATTAGCTCTATTAAACCAAAAAATACAAAAATTATGACGAAACATCCTTCAGTGGTTGCCGAAAGTTCGGTTCGTCGAGCTGAAGTGAACTCGTGACTTCTTTCAGATTTGTTTCTTTATCCCTGATGGTAAAATACCCACTACTGACTTCTTCCCACTTTCAGGAGTAAATAACAGTGCAATCCAGAAAGGGCTGACTGAGCAGTAATTCTACCAAATATTCTGAAGGAGTAAGAACTTACAATGGTACACGAACTTATTTTCGAGAATCTCATCGACCCTTTTTGGGCTCTCTGACAGAATTTCTTCGTCAGTGTCCGACATCAGCCACTTGATTGTGCTGCACAAAGGGAAAATGGATGGTGAAAACACACTCCAGTTAAGAGAAGCCTGGATAAGCATGGATAACCCGATGACAGGTAGAGGAAAACAATTTTAGGAAAACAGCAACGGTAATATTAGTCGTAAACAGTGGGAATGACGGGTAGGCTTAGGTCTACCGTGCCTACCTGTTAGTAGCCTATCCGAGCATCTTCAGACTGGTTATAAATCCAGGTGATAGCGCTCAATTAATTGCGAGGGGCTATCCGTCTCTTCTCAAGGTCCAACTTGCTCGGCTCCTCACATCACCTTTGTACATCTTCTGCCACTTTCATGGCCAGAGCCATTCTTCTAACCTTCTTTTTTGGTGCACCTGAGAAAAAGATGCAACAGTAAAAGGTCTTTGAAAGTGTGGTCGGGTGCAGTGGCTTCATATTTCGTCTTCCTGCTGATTTCTGTAGTNTGATAGCGCTCAATTAATTGCGAGGGGCTATCCGTCTCTTCTCAAGGTCCAACTTGCTCGGCTCCTCACATCACCTTTGTACATCTTCTGCCATTTTCATGACCAGGGTCATGATTCTGTCCTTCTTTTTTGGTGCACCTGATAAAAAGATGCAACAGTAAAAGGTCTTTGAAAGTGTGGTCGGGTGCAGTGGCTTCATATTTCGTCTTCCTGCTGATTTCTGTAGTTCATCGTTGTAGTCCATTCCCTCAAGGCGTCAGAATACTTTGGTTCTGCAGTCAAGCAGCCGAAGCAGTGCTCGAGGACGTTGACTCCTTCTTTCCATTGGGTACTCCAACCCGTAGTCCTTCCTACTCCTGCATCGAAGAACTCAAACAGCATTCCGCTGGTACATTTGGAGATCTTTTTTAGCCCTATCTAACAATAAGTTCTACATATTGGACCTTCGTCCCAATCGCTTACCGGCATGGTACAGTGGGTCCTACTGTCATGTTCGGCTTCTTTCTGTCAGAACCCAACGTCTATACTACTCACTTCCCGAAAAGGCGCTGCTACTGGTATTTTATACTCTTGTGGGTAACTAGTACACTAGTGATATACTTCTTATAGAATTCACCATGGGCTTACTTTGTGCACAAATGATCGCTGCGGGCCAGATCATGAGTGTAGTCTTAAATTTCCCACATTGAAAAGACTGCCCGAATTCCCAGCAGATCACCTCCTTGATTGAAATCAAAAAGCGTATATGAGTGCGTTTGAAATTTTTGGCTAAATGTAGTCCAGAGAGGATTTGGGCTATGAAAATTGGACAGCGCAAAACTGGACAAAATAAGTTCATCCAATGCTATCGAATTTCATTGACAAGTCTTTTTTCCAGCAGCCGTATGAAATAGTCTAATAACCTGATATTACGTCTCCCAGGGATCGGCAGGTGCCATGGGGTTATCGATCGATCGATAGCCACTCAAAATGCGCCTGTTTTCTCAGTTGTGCATTCTCTCAGCTTTTTCGCTTTGGTAGAGTCACTTTTTCCTAACGATTGACCTTTTTCCTTGGTTTTTTGACAGTTCGGGGCTCTTCGTCGTATTTGGCTTCGGTGCATCAGAATTTTGAGGACAATAGTAGCATGAGACACTAAGAAGGAGGTGGTGTATCGTCTGAAGAGGGTCAACTAATACCGTGAAGTGAGAGGAGCAGGCGAGTACATATCATCATGTACGACAGCAAGGGGTGGAGAGGGGGGAGGGGGAGGGGGGNGGGGGGGGGGGGGGGGGGGGGGGGGGGGGGGAGGTGGGACTGGGAGAACAATCAAAGGCACAGTTCACGATAAAAATTGTTCCGTAGATTTACACATGGAATGAATTCGGGGTCTCCTCTGATACCATATGTGCCGAAATGAGGTCGTAAAGCGATCTGGGTAAGGCACAATAAGGGCCCTGACAGTGGGGGACGGGAGGCCTCCCCCCGATAGGCTCACTACGAAATCTAATTGTCGTTCACAACATTCACACTGGAGCGAAGTTGGTAAAGAATCGATGAGCTGATTGGCAAAATGCCACGTACGGTCAGCCGGTCGGACGTAAAATAATGCAGTATAAGCGAAAATAAGCTCATTCAATCGTCAAAAACGAATATAAGCAAGTTCACTTACTTTGCGTCCCGGCCAACAGAATATAGTGAATATTTTAGCTAAATATCAACAGAATAATAAATACTTCTAAGAATGATGGCAAAATCAGCTGTTCCTGTGTGTTGTGTGTAATTGCGGACACTGCGTCGCGTTCGTCCGACTCGCTCAAACACTCCCCTTAACCGCCGTTTTTCGCAGTGTAACTCGTCCAACCCCCCTTTCTACTTAATTTTTGAACCTTTGTATTCCTGTTATTTGTCGTTTTTCGCGTCTTCTGCTTCGCCATTGTATTGCTGTAGGCCATACNTAGCAATTCCCGTCAAAAACCGGACACACCAAAATTATCGTGAACTGTGCCTTTAAATAAGTTAGTTATACACAATCAGTTTTACTTCTTTTTTTCCTTCTATAACATCATGAGGCTCTTCGAACGGGTTGCATGAATGGGCTATGTATACCTTGTTGAGACCCAATTGATTTCCACTGCATAAGACATTTCTGAAAAAGAGACATTTGATGCCCGTTTTTTATCGAATTCTTCGTACCAACACCATTTATATTGGTCTCATAATACATACCAGGCGAAAATGTAGTGCAAATGGTATTTTCACCATTTGCACTACATTTTCAGTACAGCTGATATTATTTTAGGTTCAACGGAAAGCCTTAAGTAGCAAATGGCAGTAACTGCATGCTCATATTTATTTATTTACTTATTTATTTATTTATTCATGCGTGTCACATCACGCGCCTCAACTAGTTCAAAAAAATTGGTAACAGTTGAACTAAATAATCAAAAGGCCCCCCTTGCGTAGGGTCCACGTCTGTGAGATTAGTCTACGTTAAGGTTGGAAGAATTCCAAGCGGATGTACCGGAAGGTATACTCCGTCGTGCGAAAGAGTTCACCTTGCTGTACTATCATATCTCAAGTTGTTGTTCAAGAGCAGTGAAACACTTTCAAGATTAGATGCTAAGATTAGATAGATGCCAAATGTAATGTTCACTCAGAGGGGGACAATGAAGTCTGACCCCTTCCCAATAATTCCCTTTATTTGTTCTTCATTCTGTATGGGCCTTTTATGTGGCAGGGGAATGGAGGCCACAAAGAAAGGCATGAATATCGATTTGTCTACCAATCGATCGCCTATGAAATCTTATCAATACCTGACTATGAGTGTCTGCGATATCACGACTATGAGGGTTCATCATTAATGACTGCTTCCTATATGAAAGTGCACGTCTCATTTGAGCCTTTCCTATCCCATTTTAGGTTCGTCGATGCATACTCTGATGGCTGTTATGGCATTGATTTGAGCGGCATGCACATGATAAATCGATTTGTATCGATAGGCTTCTGACTTGTAAGTGAGTGGCTTTACTATTTCAGTGAATAAGTAGTTTATTTATTTATTTATTTATTTACTCATTTTCTGGATTTTCACAGTTCAAAGCCAAGTCAACGAAATTTGGGATTGCAACGAATTAGTTGAATGTCAAATAGAGTCAAAAATAATTTTTCGTGCAGCTCTGGTGTGGTATAATTTTGAAGATGGCATTCCTTGTTGGAATAATCGCTTGTATCGTGGCAGGCCTCTTCTTCGGTTCGATGTTTGTTGCACTTCGGCGAGTTGAAACTGGAGACGGTGAGTATGAAGCCTCTTCCCCATTTGAGAGCCGAATGGGCACGTTAGGATGAATTCCTTAGAGGCACAGTTCGCGATAATAATAGTTCCTGAGACTTTCTCCCAGTATAATTCTGTAGCCCTCTCGTATACCATGTGGCGCTGTCAGGTCGCAAAACAGTCTAGGTGAGAGCTTTCAAGGGTTCATAGATTGGCCCCACCAAAAGCGGGCGAATTTGAACGGATTGTATGTAGAGGCCGCTCAATTTACATGGAGACCCATGTAGGAAGTTCTAACATGACGGCAGTGAATGGCACGTCTGGACAGTTTTGGCTCGATGTAGTCAATTCTTTGCGCGATTGCAACGAGGGGAATCTCGCCCAAAATCCCCTTCCATGTCATTTCCGTCATGGTAATCTCGTACAACCTCTATTCTCAACACTTTTAAGATACTTCTTTCTCGTGAATTTTACGGGTTTTCTTGATTCTTCCGCCATCGATGCACTGTTATCAGCCAATAGTTCCGCTATTCAACTTGAAAAGGGTACAAAAAGACTACTATTGATTGTGCCTTAAAGGCACCATTCACGACTAAAAGTTATTGAGATCTTACCTTATTAATACTCAGCGGCCCCCATGGGTTGTTGAAGGGACCCTCTCACTCCCCCAATCTCGACGTCCAGGGCGTAGTGGCAGCTCCGTTGTTGACGTAATTCGCATCTCCGCCCCTCGACTGATGTCACGTCAGACGAGTGTCGAGACGACACAGCGTCATGTAATCGCGTCAGGACCCACCCTGAACTGCAATTTGGCAAATTGCC